GGGAAATGAATGCCACATGGCCAACTGTGACTTGAATCCTGACGCTGGCGGTTAGAAAAAGACACCAAGCATGAGTGCATGTGTCCCAAATCCTGATAGGATGAAGAAATGAAGGAAAAAGGAGTGCAGCAAGACCTCACAGAAGAGGGCTTTCTCTGTCTGTGTCTCTCCACCTCTCTCTGTCTTTGGTGAATGCACATATATCCTCAGAAAATAAAATCTAAAAAACTGAGTCCAGAGAAAATTCAATGTCACAAAAAGGGTTATTTTGATGGACTGTCTTAAACTCTGTATTCAAATTAATAGCTCCTTATTAAAGAACAAAGATACATTACACTTTTGCCTGATATTTTGGTGGGGAGTGAGATACTCTCTTAGATTTGAAGTTTTAAAATGTAGAAATTTGATATTTTCTCCTCTGACTCCTGTTCATAATTTTCAATACAAGTATAACTTTACTGTAACATTTTCACCTTTTTCAAGACAAGCTTGACCACAGAACAAAATAATACTTATGCAGCATACCTACCTTACACCTAAAATCAGACTAGCTTCTCGTCTACTCATTTTCTGTTCAAACCCTCCTTTATAGTAGGATGAAAGGCTCTGTACAAGAAAGAAGGAGCAAGAAATAATTAGTTCCATGCATGAGGTGGCATGACCTCAATCCCATCACATAGCTGCAGTAAGAGTAACATATTTTACTAGAAATGTAGGGAGAAAAGCACTAAACAGTGATCATTTTCAAGAAACTCTAACCAAGATAAACACTTAAAAAATAATTGTTTCACATATTAATTTTCTACACTGGGCTATAAATGAAGGAATAAAAGCACTCAGTAGAAGCAAAATGCTTCAACTATTTCTAAGCTCTATAGTACTTTTCTCATTGGATAATCTTGACCAAGTCATGTAATGTTGATTTGGCAGACTTTTTTTTTTTTTTTTTTTTTGTCTACTAGCCAGGATGACAGAAGAAGATAGGGAGGAACTGACAAAGTGGGGATTATGTCACAACAGCAGAGAAGAAGCCAAAAGAGGGTAGAATACTAGACTGAAAGGTCAGTGTGGTTAGAGAGGCATGAATAAGATCAGAGTGGTAATTGGGGCCATGTAAGGTCTTGAAAAGGCCTTATGAAAGGCTTTGTAAGCAATTGAAATAATTTAGGATATTGGAGTAACACAATCTGTCTTGGTTTTGAGAGGATTACTGTAATTGCTGTGCAGAGAACAGACAAGTGCAAGGGTACAAGCAGACCAATTAGGAAGCAAAACAGGAATCCAGGCAAGATATGAGGGTGGTATGGACCAAGGTTAGAATACAGATGGTGAAAAGTGGTCAGGTTCTGGATGTATTTTTTAAAAGAATTATTTTTATTTAACATATCTATCTATCATCTATCTATCTACCTATTTATCATCTATCTTTTAATTTGACCAGAGAGGAGCAGAGTAAGACAGAGAGAAAGTCGGCTATGTGGGAATCCAGCGCCCCCAACCACATGCCACCTGCTGGCCACTGAATGTATTTTAAAAGTAGAACCAAAGTTCTAGACTGAATGTGGAATACGAGAGAGAGAAAGAGAGAACTGAATGTATTTTAAAAGTAGAACCAAAGTTTTAGACTGAATGTGGAATACGAGAGAAAGAGAGGAATAAAAAATGCTGTGGAGGATGCTACTAGGTGGTTCCCAGGTGCCTCTCCCAAAGCAAAGGACCTGCATACACCCAGATGCTGGGGCTGCTGCTGGCAGCTAGCTCTCAACATTCAGCCTCCTTAAGAATTCCTTGCCTAAACAAGGTGAGGCTCAGGCCCTCTTCCCAGGGCAGCCCACACCTAATGACTGGCTGACAGGTGCTAAACATTGCATTCTCTAGGCTTCGGTGATGTCAGTTAGTCTCCTTACCCCAACTCAGGGTAACCAGACTAGGCCATTCTAGCATCAGAGGTCCCTGTGGGACTGGTCTTTATTAAGACTGCACTGCAGCCTGACTTATTCTGCTGTCTGCTTCTCTTCCTTTTGGCTTTTGGGAACATTTCCTAATATAACCCTTTATCTGCTTTGCAGAGAACCCAAACTATGCAAATGATTTTAAGGTTTCTGGCCTAACCCACCTACTTTAAGTCTCATTTAATGACTTAAAGAGTAAGCGATTGTTCATTGTAGGTAGTAGGCATGAGGAGACTGGTTTGTGTAATGTCTACCATATATCTAAGCAGAGGAGAATTCTAATCTAGAGCTAACTTTGAAAGCCATCACTATACAGATAGGATTTAAAGCTATGAGACTGAATGAGATCACCTGAGTGTAGATAAGAAGTCCAAGGACTGAGTCCTAGAGACTAGAACATTTAGTGACCTTCAAATGGAGAGGAATCAGTCTCCCTAAAGGAGGAAAGTAGGAAGAAAGGGAGCAAAAAGTAAGGAAGTTAAAAAAATGGTTTCAAATGTTTCTAATGGGTAAAAAGTGAGCTGAGAACTGACCACTGGGTTGTGCAGAGGAGGTCAAAGACTGACAGCATAAGGGTTTGGGGTGAGAGTCTGATTAGACTGAGTTTAAGAGAGAACAGGAAGAGAAGGGTAACAACTAATTTCAGAATCTCTAAATAAAGAACAATGTATGAACTCAGCTTTTAAAAGGAAAATATACATATATGATGGCACACATGCATGTTTCTAAAACATTAAACTTTGTTTTTGTAAGGAAAAATAAATAAGTCAATGTTTACATAAAATAATACCTGAAAATACATACATCAAAATGTTATTTTTGGTGGTAAGACTATGAACTTCTTTTTAACTTACTAAATTTCAACACTGAACCTATGCCATCTGTACAACTGAAAAAAGAAGAGGCAGCCAAACCATGGTGGCAGTGTAGCAGGGGCACTGTTCTGCATTGCTGGAGGCCACGAGAAGGGTCTGGGTTCACATCCGGGGTCTACATGAACATACTGGGCACGCCTGCCAGAGCACCTGTGATCCTGCGGCTACAGGTTTCGGGGCAGGGTCTTGGTGTGATGACCCTGTCAGAGATGCCTGCCTATCTCTGTTCGTCCCCCTCTCTCATGAAGAAAACACTAGGTCGTCATGAAAGTCAGGGTGTATTTCTCTATGTTTTTCTATGCAAAAATAGCACTGTGACTTTCCCAACAACTCAATAATGAAATAAACTTAAAAAAACAAAACAGTGGAATAAATAAAAGTAACCAAAGAAATGATTAGAGCTTAAAGTATGAGTCCCAGGGAGTGAGATGCAGCCATTTATATAAGCTGATCTCTTTGAACAGCTTGTTATAAATTTCCACTTGGTAATAATTCCTGGCAATTAATTAATTCAACAAACACTTCAACAGCTACTATGTGCCAGGCACTTTTTAAATGAGACAGATCAAGGTCTGTCTTTCATCACATAGATGCTAATCTATCAATGTACCAGTATTGTGTCGAATACGATGCAGCATTCCAAGTTTCAAGTAATTTACAATCTAGTAAGAAAACAAAATAAATGCTTCCCCCACCCCCTACACAAACTTTGAGAGGAGGAAGGGAATCAAATTACTTAAGAATGTACACTCACCTGGAAAAATTTTATATTTTTCTAAACATACATAAAGAGAATATTCAGATAGATAGACACACATAAAGATAGAAACAGGGGACTTAGCAAAGGAGGAGAAGCTGGTTTTAAAATTTCTTTCAAGAGACCAAAATTTGGGGTCCAGCAGGTGGCTTGGTGGTTAGGGATGGATTCCCGCATGGCCGAAGATGGCTCAAGTCCCAGACCTGATGACTTGTTTTCTTGATTTCCCTTTCTCTTGTTCTCTGTCTCTCTCTGGTTGAATTAAAAATAATAATAACAAATGGAATTAATAAAAAAATATTTAAAAAAGAAGAGACTGACCAAATTTTTTACTAGGTATATACCTTACTCCCCAAATAAAAGCTGATTCGTAAATTTAGTTATGGTAAAACAGAAGTATCACCAACTTGATTCACAGTAGTCATTTCTACAGGGCCATGCATACTCATTTTTGTTTTTAAAATCTGCTTAAGACTAATGCGTACAATAAGTCTTTGTTCAGGAAAAAAAATATGCCTGAGTTTTTGTTTACCTTAGAGAGCTCTAAAATTCTGAGTCAGCATAATGAACAAGAAAAATTGATGACATTTCATAAACTATCATTCCCACTATAGTCACGAAGTTCATTAACCCCAAAAGTAGGTATTGTATCTAAGCAATTACTTTGTTTTCAGTTTTGTCCAGGTAGAAAAGGTGTCTCAGAAAAGACTACTTAAAATCTAGTATCTAGGGACCAGCAGTTGGCATAATGGCCATGTCACTGGACTCCCATGTAGTCGACCGCGGTTCACGTCCTCGACCAGGTGGCTTAAACTCATGCCGGGTGCATGTGTGTGTGCCCAAGATCCCGAGGGGGGAATGGAAGGGAAGGGACTGCAGCATGGCCAGCCGCCCTGGAGGGTGATTTCTCGCTTTCTGTCTCTCTGTCTGTCTCTGTCTTTCTGGTGAGCGCACGTGCCCTATAGCAAAAACCTCTCCAAAAGAAAAAAGATCTAGTGTCTGGACTTCATACCTTATAAAACTAAACAAGTAAATCATTTGTACATAAATAATCATCACAACCCTGCTAAGAGAACTAGATCATTTTGAGGACAGAAATTTAATATGTGGGGGTTGCTTACAGAAAAAAGGAAAAAAACGTCTTATGTTTATCAACTATCAAATGTCTGCAGGTTTCTTCAGGGAAAAAAAAAATCATGCTTTTTAAACTTGTATGAAATTCAGGGGCGTGGTGGCGCCCACCCTATGGTAAACTTGTATGAAATTCAAGTTTTATACTGCATCATTTTAAACAGAACAAATCATTACAGTATTTAAATTCACTATGTTTAAGTTAGTACCTACATTATGAGCAGGCACAAAACTGTCAACTCTGTCTCCTCTCACCCCCAATAAAGTGTAATTTAAAGACCCTTTGAAGTTTGTAAATAATATACCAACATTGGATTGCATTAGGATCTACAGACATAGGCAGTACAGAACACTTTTCTAACATTGTGGAGGACCAAAAGAAATGTTGTGATTCATAAAATTGAGATTATTATAAGTAACAAGCATCATCAAATAGATGGAACAGATGGTTATATTTTTCTAATGGGAGTTCCAAGAACAGAAATAGTAGGATTCCACTAGTTTTATTATACTGTTTATTTAAAACACACCCTGGACTTTACATATTATTATTCTGTAACATTCCATTCATAGAGTATACATAAACAACAGAAACAAAAATAATTCCCCTTCTCAAATTAGCATTACGTGCCATAGTGCCATATGTTACCAAAAGAGATACGAAATTACTCAAGTTAAACAAAAGTCTTTATCAGTCAATAGCCTGAAAGACAAAAATCCTCCAATCAGAGAAGACACGTATCATTCTACAGTCTTAAGAGAAGAAATACATCTATCATAAACTATAAGGTTTTACAATAATCTATTTGATTTATAAAGCCACAAAATGATTATTTTAGTATATTTTTTCCATAAACTTCATTTGACCATAAAATAACAGAAAATTATTTTGGAGACCAGAAGATGGCATAATGGTTATGTCACTGGACTCCTACATAGTCAACCATGGTTCAAGGCCTGGACACAGTGGCTTAAAACACATGCTGGGTACATGTGAGTACGTACCCAAAATCCCAAGAGGAGAATGGAGAAGGGATTGCATCATAGCCATCACCCAGGAGGCGATTTCTCACTTTCTGTCTCTGTCTCTGTGTCCTTCTGGTGAGTATACGTACCCTATAGCAAAAATCTCTCTAAAATACATATATATATTCAAATAAAAGAACAAATTTACAGGAAACTAAAAGCTTCAAAAGGTGATTAATGACATAGTTTTTTTCCCCCCCCAAGGAAAATATTAGTGATAATTAGACAATAGCTAAGTTAAAAATATACATAAATACTTTAAAAGGCTAGCAAAATAGCACTGGTTTGGGGGCCAGCCAAGTGGCACAAAGGTTAAGAAAGCTGGATCCCATGTGGCCAACTCTGCAACTTGAGTCCTGGACCTGATGGTTTGAAAACCACACCAGGCACATGCACGTACATGCCCAAAATCCCAAGACGAGACTGAAGGAGAAGAGACTGCGGCATGGCCATCTCCCCTGGAGGGTGATTTCTCACTTTCCCTCTCTTTCTCTGGGGAGCGCCTACACTATAGCAAAAACTTTCTTGCACCTGTCACTTTTGCTCTTAGGCTAAGAAACAGAACCGTATGCCTGCAATGCATTTTACTCTGGGTGGCAGATCCTAGAAGAAGCAAGGAAGGATACCAGTAGATCCCTGGTATTTCTGAATCCAAAAGGCCAGAAATGGTGGGGGGCAGCCATACAAAGGGGTAAACTATACATAGTACTCAACCATTCCTGGACGCTACAGATCCCAAGCCTGCCTCTGGCCTCCTGGCTTTGGAAGACATGCCTCCTGACAAACCCACCATAGTTCACTGTTAACTCTCCTATTCAGTTAAGCCATTGAAACAAGCCAGCTACACTGCTGAGGAAAGCTAAGAATATTGCTTAATCAATTTAGTAATAAATATAAACCAACAACCAAGGATCACCAGACATCTGAAAAACTCAGTATCGTGGCAGAAAAGTGGTTCAAGTCCTATACCTGGATGCTTGCTTTATCACTTTCTTTTTCTGTCTCTACCTGGTAAGTGTACATGCCCTATACCAAATTAAAAATAATAATTATGAATAAAAGTAAATAAATAATTGTTTTTAAAAAGTACTGAAAAGAGAACCCAATGGAACTTTTGCCTTAGACATTCTTTGAATCACAGAGATTTAGCTCCTATATTTTTAGTAGCTCTGTTTAGTTCAACAGTAATATTTATAAAATCAAAGTACAGTAAACAGTTTGACATTTGCTTTTCATTAATGTCAAGAAAAAATATGTATGTATTACATTTCTTGGTTTCCCTGGGATGAAGGATTTATGAATAATTGCTTTAAAAACTCCTATTTTCACCAAGGTATAATTGTAATGATGATGATGACAACAATTAATATATCTAAAATGTTTCATTACAAACTGAAATAGTTGTATTGATACTTTGTGAAAAACACGAACCATAATGGCCCCACTGTGGTAGTGTGCACAGTTAACACTGCTACACAGGAGGCCTGGGTTTGATTCTGTGACCGCCCTACAAGCCAGGCACAGGTGTACACCTGTAATCCCTGCTTCTCAAAAGGTTGAGGCAGGGGGGAACCAAAAGTTAGCGTAATGGCCATGTCGCTGAACTCCCACATAGTCGACCACAGTTTGCGTCCCGGACGAGCGCACGCCCCCAATAGCAAAAAAAAAAAAAAAAAAAAACCTTTCCAAAAAACAAAAAAAAGGTTGAGACAGGAGGCTGAAACAGGAAGACTCTGTCTTACAGGAAAAAAAGGGGAGGACAGACTTATCAAAAGGCACATTTCCCCTCTTGAGGCCCATAAAACAGAAGGAAAGGGAGCTATGTACTTCATTTCCCTCTCCTTAAGAAATGCACGTTCCAGGCAAAGTGTATCCATTACGATCTCTTGACCAACTTTGTCTTATCTGTGAGGCTCTACGAAACAGTGAAAATTTCCTCACTTTCTTGCTCTCTCTTCCTTTGCAAAGTTAAATAATGTAGTCCTACAAAGCTTAGAAGTATTCTATTTATGGTGTACATATATCTACTGAGAATTCTAACAGAAGAGCAACGATTTCTGAAATTCTCTCCATATATTATTTATAAACATAGAGAAAGCCATAAATAACATTCATTTAAAGAACTATATCACTGTGTCTATTACTATTACTCTATTTCAAACCACCACCATCAATCACTTGGACTATCTAGACATCCTTTTAACTGGTTTCACAGCTTCCACTCTGGCTCCCTCTAGTCTGCACTCTAAGGAACAGGCAGAATGACCTAAAATGCCAATCACATTGCCCCCCTGCTCAAAAACCTCCCACAGACTTCCCATCATACTTAAAGTAAAATTTGAATCTTCTTCATAGTCTATGAGGCTCTAAAGGATTGGGGCCCAAGCTATTACTATTCTCCTTATAGATTCCATTGGAGTTACTCTTGCTAGGCTGATTCCTACACTAGGACCACTGGAGTGTTCAACTCTTTCTTCTGATGCTCATATGGCCTGCTCACTCAACTTTTCAGAGAAGTCTTACCTGACCTATCTTATATAAAAGATTCCTCTCTGATTTTAATATTTAACTTCTTACCCTGATTTGGTTTTCTTGAAAACATTCACACTTACAGAAAAAATATATTTTAACACATTTATTCATTTGTTTATCATATGCCTCTACAAAAATATAAACTTCTAGATGGAAGTATCTTTGTTTGGTATATGACTATATCCTACTACTTACAATAATATCTGGCATGTAGTAGGTGTTCAATAAATATTTAGTGAATAAATGTTGAATACCTACCAATGCTTTAACCAATTGAAACGTAAATAGGAAAACAGAAAATAAACATGTGCTCCCTCTAATCATAGATACGTATTTAGAGGAAGGCAAAATCACTCGCAGTTCTTTTGAACCTGGCTTTAATTATCTGTCAGTATGTCATCTTTTGAAAATGTTGCCAGTATTCATGGCTAACTAAGCCTCACAAGCCTATAATGCCTTTGCTGAAACAAGCCATTCATTCTCAAATTGCTGCAAACCAAGCTGATCTTTCCCAGATCTGCTTCTATTTCCCAGAAGTCAATGGTTATACAGCAGTGCTTCCGTGAGTTTTCTTTGTAGTGTCTTCAGTGGTCACAAACCACATTTCATACTGTAGCTTTTAAGATACTATCATTCATTCTTCTCTTATATTTAGCTCACCAGACTAGTTATAATGCTAGTAGATGAACATACAAATACTGTGTAGGATTTCATGGTTGAAATCTTATAATTTTATGTTTTAGATGGGCAGGTATGGTGATACAAGGGGACAAGTTTCAAATTTCAAGATGAAATAAAATGCTTTTTTAAGCCCCATCTGGATAGGGATCTGGTCTGTTCTGTTTTACTAGATATCCCTAGTTCTTGGCACAGGATTTAGTACAAAGTGAGTAACTCCCCAAATGTTTATTGAATAAATGAACAGTAATGAAGCAGGGAAAATAACTTACTTCAAAGTTAATGTAATACTTCTAAACATAGCATAATAATTAGATGTCAAAACCTGGAAAAGGTCAGATACTAAAAATAAAAATTACCAAGAAATTTAACAAAAACTAAATCAATAAATTAGACAAACTCACTGATGATATAATGAAAGAAATAAACTTCTATAAGCATTGAAAAATCCAAGACATTTTCTGAGTTACTTTCATATATGGCATACAAGCCAATATAAGACGTGTCTTTTGTTTTCTAACAAAAGACATTTAACTTACAGGAGTAGTAAACTTCTTTGCAGTTTCTGTGATGACGTGTTCTAGAGGCTTCCAGACCTGAAATGCATAGCGACCTAAATAGTAAAAAAAAAAAAAAGCAAATAAATTTTCTATAATCAATCAATAGTTTTTAAAGTACTTATCATTTATTGACAGTCTAAATTTATTTGAATAAATATTTCAAAATTTGACAGAAAGATAGTCATTTTTTTTTTTTAATTTCTAACTTAGTGAATGGAGTAAGTTAACAGCATATCAAATTTGGGACCAGCAGATAACATAATGGTTACTTCACTAGACTCCCACATAGTCGACCGCAGTTCCAATCCTGGACCAGGGCTTAAAACTCACACCGAATGCATGTGTGTGTGCCCAGAATCCCAAGAGGAGAACAGAGGAGAAGGGATTGCAGCACAGCCATCCCCTGGTGGGTGGGAGTGACTTCTGTCTGTCTCTCTCGGTCTCTCTGGCAAGTGCACATGCCCTATAGCAAAATCTCTCTTAAAAAAAAAAAAAAAAAGAGAGAGAAAAATAGCATATCAAATTATTAAACTTACGAAGTTCGAGCTCATGACTATAATATGGTGTTATAGATCACAAAAAAACAACCTTAGTACTATTCCTACAAGTTAAGAGATCCTTTTATGGATAAAAACATACTTATAATAATAAAATGATTAATGATATTGCTTTTCACAATAATAATATGAAAATGAGATATTGAGAAAAATGAGATATAGAGAAAACTAATATTATTTATGACATACGAGTGATTTTAATGGAGTTAATTTCTAAAATAAAGCTATGTACATAATATTACCAAGGAGGTAAGTTTCAATTTTTCTCACTGAGAATAGCTACTCTCTCGAAATAAAGCTATGTACATAATATTACCAAGGAAGTTAAGTTTTAATTTTTCTCACTGAGAATAGCTACTCTCTCAAATAAGATATTTTATTTTAGATTTTTCCTTACTTAGGCATCCTACTAATCAAAACTGCCCTTAGTCTTGACACTGAAGAATGAATAGCAAAACAGGTCCTAAATTATTTTGAGGGCATAGAATATTAATCAAATATTATCTGATTAATTTGCTTTTTGCAAACTAATCAGAATGTGTGTCCTCTACTAGTGTCTCTTTCTCCAAAAGCCTTGTTAGAAAACCAACATATAGCACTCTGGAATTTAATTTCTACACATATTTTCAAATCAAAAGTTCCACTGGGAAAACTGAACTACCTAGACCATTTAGAAAAACTTTATCTGCCTAAATACACTATTATTCCTGCATTCAATGAGAGGCACAATGCTAGGAATGTGAAATGTGAAGCTGCCAATCTAAGACACAACAAACTCTTGAGATCCAAGAGAACATAAAATAAAGGGAAATTAAATGAGGCTGACTTTCTCATTTGAATAAATTTCTTATCACATAGATATCGTCCATTTGATTCCCTATCAGCTTTTAAATGACCTCAGAATTCTTCATAACTACAATCAGACACAAGGACTGACTTCCTGTCTCAGTGAAAAAGCAGTTAAAAGCTTCCGAGAGGATATCTGGAGATTCACTTTAACCATAAACCAGAAGATCTGGTTCCAGCAAGTCTAAGTGTACTTTCTCCAAAATACTGTTACTCAGCTACACTTGGCTCTGGAAGAGATCTGTTATTTAATATTCTAGTTAGTGGTATAAATTTGGCAACAGTAGAGTCTACATAGAATACAAACATCAATTTTTGTCATTTTAGAAAGAAGACCCTAGGAAAAAAATAACATCTTTCTCAAATTTCTAATTAATCTCTTTCATTCGAATCTGTAACCACTATGCCTATTCTAGTATAATAATTAACAGTAAAATTGTTTCATGTTTCCGGCAAGTTTGTCACACTTGAGACAGGATATTCTTCTCATGAAACTTCAGAAATCAGTCAACTACATTTATAAAACTGAGACAGAAGACACTGAAGGCAAAAAGATCGAAAGAATCTGAATGACTGATCTCAGTGATTTTAAAGTTCTGATTGTTAAAGTACTTTAAATATGAATTGTTTGACAATTAAGAACCAAACCAAACAAAATCTCTTACTTTTCATGTTTCTATTGGATTTTACAGAACTCCATATAACAACAATGGGGTATATGTTTCTCCTAAAAAGATCCAATGAACAAGATCAAGTCCATACAATTAGAAACACAAATGCTAAAACAAAAAAGTAAATCTCAATAAGAGAACACCTTCAGATTAACACGTAATTAGGGAACAGGTATGCAGTTTAAAAGTACAGGTTAATGACTGAATCAGCTAAGCAATTACACTTTAGACCTTTATAACTATTCATTCTCAAAAGGCAACTTTGTCAGTAGAAGTTCTCCTGGATTTATCAAAGAAATTACACCAATAAGTTAAAAGTAGAATAAATACACACAGGGAACAGTTATGTTCATTAGAAAGAACTGACAGTTTGAAATGTATAAATCTGGGACCAGCATTTGGAGTAATGGCTATGTCCCTGAACTCCCATGTAGTCGAACGCGGTTTGAATCCCGGACCCAGTGGCTTAAAGATGCCAGGTATGTGTGTGCAGCCAGGATCCTGAGAGGAGAATGGAGGAGAAGGGATTTCAGCGTGGCCATCTCCCCTAGGGGTTGATTTCTCGCTTTCTGTCTCTGTAGCAGAGAGTGCATGCACCCTATAGCAAAATTCTCTCAAAATTTTTTTTTTTAAAAAAGAAAGAAATGTATAAACCTATCTGCAAGAAAAAAAAATTGGAGAATAAAGAAACCCTATATTACTTATATTGTTTCATAATAAAGATTTCTTTTTATATTATAGTATGTTATACCTCAAACTGAAAAAAATGCCAAGAAGATCAACTATTATTAGGACTCGTTTTCCTAGCTTTTATATCATTAATTTTCTTCACTTAGTTTATTTAGATTTTGCTATACTGACAAATATTCAGTAACTATAAATGATGGAAAGGATGAGAAATGTATAATGTCTGGAAATCAAAGACCTCGGAACACTAAGGGTCTTCTCATAAGTCACTATAAAAGCTACCTGGGGGTACCAGCAGTTAGCGTAATGGCTATGTCGTTGGACTCCCACGTAGTCGATCGCAGTTCGAGTCCCGGATCTGGTGGCTTAAACTCACTCTGGGCGCGTGTGCGTGCGTGCCCAAGATCCCAAGAGGAGACTGGAGGAGAAGGGATTGCGGCGTGGCCATCCCCCCCGGGGGGGTGATTTCTCACTTTCTGTCTCTCTGTCTCTCTCTGTCTGGTGAGCGCACATGCCCTATAGCAAAAACCTCTTCAAAAAAAGAAAAAAAACTACTTGGAAATATTAATAGGTATTCTTTATTTATCTTACCTGCAAATGCAAGAGCTGCAACACCCAGTCCTACTGCTATCAAACTCCGCGCCTACAGAGACAAAATATATTATCACTTACAGTGTCATGCACTGTGTTGTAAAAGAAAATCATTTTCAATAATGAGAATAATTATGCTAAATACTACATTTTCTTTGAGCTCTACTATGAAGAGTAAAAAATTTTAAAGATCTGTAATATCTGTAGCATTTTATATGCTGTTCATTGTGTCAGCTAATTTTCAGTGAACTGTAATAAAGTAATTCCAGATTTTCATTTAAGTTCCCTATATTTGAATTCCTTCTAACCAAAAGCTTTTATATTACCTATTGTTAAAATATTTTCTATAGACTATTCTTAGTAGTAGGTTTAATATAGTTAACTTCTATAAACGTGAAAGCCATATATTTCATCTTCCCTATTTTACATAAATTTGCTTGTTCAATGGCATTTGTGATACTTAATTTCATAAAACGTTACATTCATGTTCAGGAAAAAAGTCAAGATTCCAAAAATTAGTCAAAATAATAAATATTTAAAAGTTAGTTCATTTCTAGCCTCTAGACCAGTGTAAAATTTATAAAATAAAAGCCAATAATTTAGATTGCCAGAATCTAAAGTGATACGCTGATTCTGATAAAAATCTATTTTAAAATGGTAATAGAGTCATATTATTCTATCTCAGGAAAATATTTAAGTTGCAACAAAAAAAGATTTATGTGGCAGAGAATTAACAGTTGTTCTACAATATTTATTCTCCTTTTCTTTTATAGGATCAGAAATTCCAATTCTTAGCCAGACATGTATTTCTGGTTCTGTTAACCAAGTGTTGGTACAGGATATAAACAGAGTGGTGTGTGCAACTTGTGAGAAGTCCTTCAGGGGCTGGGGGTAAGGTCCTATTCCTTTTCTACTAGCCCTGACTGAGGGCTGAAATGCATATATTAAACATAGAGCACCCTCTGCCCTTTTGGATAAATGAAGAGCAATGATAAAAGGAGACTGTGTTCTGGATGATCATGGCATTGCCTTTGCAACCTTGGGCTGCCTCTGCTTACCTAAGATAAAAATCAAAGTTCCGTCTTTTTAATTTACTACACTTCCAGTGTTAGGCACTTCAAATTCTGATGGTACAGAATTAAGAAGTGAAAACACAGAAGTATTTTCATCTGATTAGTGGTGAGAGAGGTGAATCCTTAAGACTTTTTAGCAAAGACTTAAAAAACTAGAATAATCTCACTAGGGAACAGAATGATATATTCCACATTGGTGCAAACGTAGTAAGATGGAGGCAGAGACTGAAAGAATGCTAAAACCAAAAAGCTAGGCAGACATCAGCCTTCACATTCTGTAAGGAAGTACACACCCAGTCTTAGGAAATCAAAGGCCCAAATTTTAGAAGGATAACTCTAAAAAGAGATATATCAGGTCAGAAAGGTGAGCTGCATGACAGGGCCCTAACCTTAATATCCAATAATTCTCTCTAAGAAATCTAGAGCTATTCATAGACAAGATGAAGAAGGTCCTTTTGGGCCTCTCTTCATTTCCAGTTCTAAGGCGTACATTTTTCACCAAGTAATAATTCTCAGAAAATTTCAGTAAAGGAAAATCCATTCCCAGACATCTAGAGCTATCTGCGCAACAAGTCTTCGTGGTTGCCTTCTTTCAGACTATCTTGCTTTAATTATTCCTGAACAGAAGTAAAGTAAAAATTTATTTAAAGATGTTTTGGGGGCAAGCCCAATAGCCTAGTAGCTTAAGGGAGCCAGATTCCACATGACCAACCATGGTTCACATCCTCCTCAAGCAATTTAAAACATAATAAACACATGTGTATGAGTGTCCCAAATCAGAACTGGATAGATAAATGGAGAGGGGACTGTGCCCCACTGAGGAGTGCTCACACACTCGCTCTCTCTTTTTATGTCTATATATATATATAATAGATACCTGGCAAGCATACATGCCCTCTTGCAATTAAAGACAGGAAAGAAGATGCTCTGTTTAGATTGATCTTTGTCATTTTCTAGAGCTTCTCCGATACTTTGAGCTTTCCAGTTTATCCTCCATAGATTTACTTTAAGGATCTTTAGTCCAATCAAACTACTCAACTATTTTATGTGTAAATTATATTTCCTCCCCTTAAAACTATTTTTCTGTCTGATTAAAAACATTCATCTTTGCCTAACCAAATCCTTTTTTTTTTTTGTACAGGGTCTCTAGAGCTAGCATATTCTTCTACCTCAGTCTCCTAGCTAGAACCAACCACCACACTCTACTCTTTTTCAAATACAATCTCACATTGTCCAGCCAACCTTGAGCTTGTGATCTCCTGCCTTAGTATTCCTGAGTTGCTGGGATTACAGGTGTATGTCACAGAGCTCAGTCTTTAGGCTGGACTAGAACTGGGCCTCCTCCATGATCCCAGCCTGCACAGTGTGCAGTAAGTGCTGCCCTACCTAAGCCATTTGTTTTTCCTACCTACTCTTAATACCTCAGCTTGTGTCTGCCACAGAATGGCAGGTGTCACTTACAAAACATAACAAAGGGGGAATATCCAAATATACACATAGAATCCCTCCAAATTAATCATGAAAAGACAATAGAAAATAGAAAAATGGGCAAGACTAGGTCAGTGACTTCATAAAAAGAAAAAAATTATTAATAATAATAAACATGAAAAAGTACTCCACTTCAAGAGTAACTAGTAAATACTAACGACAAGATGATTCAAAAATATTAACCTTAGAATATAAAGATCCGTGGCCTTTGTGGAACTTGTCTACTGATGCATCCCAAGCACCTACCAGTAGGATCTACACCTTATATGGTAGGATTATTGCTAGGATAGAATGTATGCATATATGTAAAGGATTTAGTACAGTGGTTTGGAATACAAAAAAGTCAGTAAATATGCACTGCAACTAGCTACTACTGAATACAAATGATATAACAGAAGTATGAACAAATTCATTTAACCCTTAAACTTGTCTGAGTGAGAGACAATAGAGAAAAGTGGTTTTGGGGGTAGGCCCTAGAAGATGAACTGGTCTTCCTCCGACATTTCACATCCTGAAAAATCATATTTGAACAATATAGGGGCCAGCCATGGCCTGATGATTATGAGAGCTGGATCCCACATAGCTGTTCTGAACCTAGCAGCTTGAAAAGCATGGTGGGCATGTGTGTGTGCATGCTCAAAATCCTGAAAAGATTTTGTTTTCTCTCTCCCCCTCTCTCTATCTCTCTCTCATGAGCACAAGGGCCCACTAACATATATACGCTCACCCACACATGAGTTCTTTATGGGAATTAAAATTCCTTATCGTAGGAGGTTGTATCTGAATTCCTCTTTAGCTATATTTTAATTAATTCGATATTAAAATAATTTATTCTTTCAGATATAAACACTGATAGCAAATAAAAATATATTTGGAAGCTGAAGTCAACTTGGAATTTCAAAAAAAAAGAAAAAAAAATCCCATCTTATACAACCAGATTTTGTATTCTAAAATAAGGATAGAAGTCCTTCTCAAGATACATTAATAATTAAGTTAAAACTTTAATTGGTCCAGAATATAATTTGTTTCCTAGAAAAAAATATTTATCTACTATGTACTATTTTTTTCATTCACTAAAAAGCCATTGATATTTCTTTTCAGGCATAAATTTAATGAGCTGTAAAACAATAACTTCCCAAACACTCCACTTATGTGAATGACCCAAACAGAGAAAAGAAACAAATTAATTTCAATGTAGAAAACAGAAAGTCTGAGAGTCAATCTGAAGTCTGAGCAAGTAGCTAATGCAGAACTTCTGACCATTATATTATCTTTATTTGACCTTGATTTTTTAAAAAAAAATCAAACTAACATCTAAAATACAGTAGGACTTCTGAATAGTCCCTGGTTCATTTGCTATAACTGTATAAATATCAGAGAATCCCATCAACATGTTCTCTGTTTCACTGTTGCTGAAAACAATTTACATATGCTTGATCACATTAAATTAAATTTGACCTAAGCATCCCTCATACTGGAGTCCTTAACAAACTGCAGCCTAACAGTACCAGAATTAAATGAAAGCCTAACTTTAAGAGTATGTAGCTGGGTCTCAGCCAATCACAGTAGTGCAGCTTTAATCAATCACAGGTGCCCAACTGATCAGACCACGGTTAAGGAATCAAGGTGTGTCTGTACTTTACTTCCATTTTCCGCCCATAATGCTGCCTGATCACTTTGCAGGCTGGCGTTCTCTGAACTTGACCTGGTTTTGAGGGCTGTTGAATTTGTAATTGTTCTTTGCTAAAACTCAGCTAAATTTAATTTGTGTAAAGTTTTTCTTTTAACAATCACTACGCTATTTCTCATTTACTTACACTTCAATATCTTATCCTTGGGCTATGAGGATCTGTTTTATTCTTTTATATATGTAACACCATTATTTGATCCAGTTGCAAGCATGAAGATGTACTTCAATTTTTACTTTGAATGTTTTTTAAACAATGATGCTTTAAAACTAAATTGCCAGTAACAGAACGAGAAAAACGACATTGAAAAGACAATATAGAAGCAAAATGGTGAATCAAACATAGTGATAGTACCACAAGTACAGTCATTTTCTGTCAACTAGGCAATAACCAGGTTAAATGTCTAAAATTGTTCATGCAATTAGATAGACATCATAGTACATCTGTGACTGTTAGGGAGATTTAAAAAAATATTGCTATTTCTTTGACTCAGGAAAATGAGGATATGTGCTGAAAATAAAAGAAATTGGGTAGTGTGATTTAAAAAGGAAAGGCAGGTATATTCTTAACACTGCCATAAAGTATTATAAATATGTAAGAGGCAGTAGATGGTAAATGTGAACGCCACATAAGAACTATTTTTTTTTTTCCTAAATATCCACAAAGCTGCCTTGGACAAGTTTTAATTCTGAAACAGTTTATTTGAAAATTCAGATATATGTGGTTTGGAAAGGTAACTAACATTTTTAAAAAAAAAGAGAGAGAGAGAGAGAGATTTTTGCTATAGGACGTGTGTGCTTGCC